AGCACACCGCATACGTTTGGAGTTTTTTCGAACATCCGAACATGTTCGGGGGTTCGACCGAATACCTCCAGAATGTGTTCGCTCGAACATATTAAAAAAAAAAAAAAAAAAAAAAAAATTGATTTTTGATTTTTAACTCGAGTTTGGTTACGAATTTGTCAAAACCTTTAAAGCAAAAGTTGTTTGCATTATTATTTTACATAACATATATTTTTTAAGGTTTTTTGGATTTTTTTTTTTTTAAATTTAATATTTTTATGTTCGTGTTCGAAGAGTTTCGATGCTCGTTCGTGTTTGGTCACCTAACCCGAACACAATGCTACACAGGATTTGGATTAATTTCAGCTTGATCCTACGAGGATCATCATCTGTAATCACTGATAACACGTCGGTTGTCGATTCGTCGGTTTACCACCCAGCCTGAAGCCTGAAGCCTTTAACTCTATTTTTTAAAATTGTTTTATTAAGGTTTTCACCCGTACTTTGATTGAATGACCATTTAACAGAAGTGACGAGTATTTATTTTGGAAGGTTGAACAACGGCTAGGGTTTGCATCTGTTAGAAGGAATATGCAAATAAAGAGTGACTGAAGTTGACCCCGTGTAATGTGTGGACCATCTGTTAGAATGTGTAAGACCCTGCGTTCATGCGATTTTATACTAAGTCTCGCATGCGACGCCTATCCGATTTCTGCGTCAGAAGGTTATGGGATAGCTACAAAAAAAGTATTAGGAATGTTGTTTGTTTTGTGTCGTTCCGTATGTGTGTGTGTCTTATTTTTATATTTTAAGCCTGGTGTAACACGTGGTGAGTGGGATGCGTCCTAGTCGACCGACGAAGAATCATGCTTAGGACTTCAACCCCCTAGTGCCTCGGTTCGCGTGCGGGTCCAATAGAGGCAGGGGACCGCTCTTACGCCCTATGCTTCAGCGAACGAGACACACCATCGGCTGGTCCACCTCTGCAATTGCAACTGATTAGCTCGACGAGGCTACGCCCGCCAAAGGGAGGTGACAGCTCCCGCGAGTGGAGGTAAGTTGCACCTCGTGTTGGCCCTATCCTGTCGTAGGGGCTCGCAAGAAGTATGGCTGGCGCACTCAACAAGCGACTTGCAAAAAATCCTTGTGTATGGCGAGTAGCGTAACGCGGACGGGAAGGTCCCGCCCTGTGAGGGACCGATGCGCTCGACAACGCCGCCAAACATCGGTGCTTGCTGCACGAAGGCCCTGCTTCCTCTCATTGCCATCGTACGCACCACTTCTCAACCCCTGTTTAGACTCAACATTATTTACACATGCTTCCGTGAGGCCAAGGAAAATCCCACTCGCGGGTGCACACAACAACATGCCCAGTTGTGCCACGCGCTAGACGGCTCCAAGGTCCTTTCAAGATAAGATTTTAAATAACCGCTTCAAAAAATTTGTGGCATCGGCGGTCAAACCTGATACTTGTTGAGGCAATACCGCCCTACGCTTGCGCATGCCCCGCCAAAAGGCTTATCAACCAAAAGGAATAATCCTTAATCCTAATTTAATCGAAAACAAAAAGTCGGCCGACAATTTTGTCGACGTTGCAACATCACACGCGCCTCAAAACTGCGCGGCTGCGCACTCTCTACTCTTCCTCTGAAACATGAAGTTAGTCACACAAAAAAAACTGGCCGCGACTCGTGCAGCGTACCCAAATTTTCAAGTCAAAACCCATTCCTGTCACTTACTGAAAAAAAACAGGGCGGATACCCATGTAAAGGAATTCGCACCGACAGCGGGGGGGCAGGCGCACACGCGCACAACTCCAGCTACAACCACCAAGCAGCAAGCTTGAAACCCTCTACAATAACACAACAATGTTGATGTGGGTGGGTGGGTGGGTGAGTGGATGCGTGACTGGTGGCCCAATTTTTATTTTTTTTTGTGAACGGGCAAGCAGCAGGTGGGCGCACGGGCGCACCAACCCCAAGTGCAAACACCAGGCAACAAGCTTCAAACCCCAGCTACAAAGACACAATGATATTGGTGTGGGTGGGTGGTGTGTTTGGTGTGGGTGCGTGGGTGGGTGGGTGGGTGACTTTTGGAAAAAGAGAAATTTGTTCAGGCGTGTGCGCGCTAACCCCAGCTGCAACCATCAACCACCAAGATTTAAACATGAGTTACAGTAACATAACAATAGTGGTGTGGGTGGGTGGTGGTGATCCATAGTTTTTTCCTTTGTGAGCAAGCAAATGACCGCATGGGCGGGCGGGTGCGCCAACCCCAGCTGCAACCAATGCCAACCACCAAGCAGCGAGCTTCAAACCTGAGTTACAGTAACATAATGATATTGGTGCGGGTGATGGCCCACGGAAAAAAAAACAATTGTGGGCAGGGGCCAGGGCTCGCACGCGAACCCCAGCTGCAACCACCAAGCAGCATATCGTCACATGCCAGCTGCTTGAGACAGGCTGTCACCCACTACATTTATATTAAACCTGTCCCCAAAATAAAGACAGACACCCAGTCTACCTCAACAGTTATCACATCAGACATTTGGTACCTCAACATCCACGCTTAGGTTCAAGCCCCAACTGCAACTGCCAACCAGCAAACTAACATAATAATGTGTGCAGGCAGGCAGGCACATGCATACAAGCACATTTCCTTTCCCTGCTTCCCTCTTTCCAGGCCTAGAGGTCTCCTTTTACCCAGCACAAGCACCTTTTGTTTTTCTTTAAAAGAACAAAAAAAAGCTGCCTTCTTCTCATTACGGGACAGCCATATATATTCTCTCACCACACATATTTTTGACTGGCGTTCTCCGATGTCATGGAACATGTATTTCTTTCACTGCCTACCTACCACCACTACTACTATTCATTTTCCAGCCCATTCCTCTCCGTTCTTCTCTTTTCCATTTTCATTCCTTTTCATTATCCCACCCGACACATCAACGGTCATTTTTATCTTTTCCATTTTTGTTCCTTTTTGTTTTCCCGCCCAGAGCAGCAACGGTCTGTTCTATTTCTTTTTCACAGTTTCATTTCGTAAATTTTAAACACGCATTTTCATTTTCACACTTTCCCGCATGACTTCGCAACGGTCCATTTTCTTTTCCCCCCTGCACTCTCACCTGCCACCGCATGGTCTCGGCAACACTTCCATTTCCTGCTCGCTGCATCATGGTGGCACGCGCTGTCATCATGACACGATCTGTCAGACGCCAACGATCGTCTAACACCCCGAATATCTCAGAGAATCTCGAAAAATCTTAAAATCTCTGACATCCGCAGAAACTCTCCTTTCACTAACAGTTTTCACTACCAGGCTGACTATCCAATTGTCCACCAACACCGAAACCAAGTGCCGACAAAAGAAAGAATTTCACGACAAATATCGATCGTTCATTTCCACGATCGCACTCCCCACGTTGGTGACGGAAGGGTGCATCAGAACCCACGGCTGATAAACTTTAATGGTATAGGCAAGCTTAAAAACAAAACAACGCTGGGTCCCGAGGAAAAATAAATTTAAAACATGCTGGGGTTCCAAAAACACCGGGGTCATATTGTCAAACCCATGGAATGGACGTCTAGAAAGAACCACCGAGTGGCAGCCTGCCGCGCGCACACACACACAGGGCACACCCACATGGCAGCCTACCGCGTGCACAAAGAGAGAGAGAAAGAGAGAGAGAGAGGGGGGGCGGTGGGGGGGGAGAGAGAGGGCGCTCCCAAATGGCAGCCTTCCGTGCACACAGAGAGAGAGAGAGAGAGAGAGAGAGAGAGAGAGAGAGAGAGAGGGCGCTCCCAAATGGCAGCC